CTGGGGAATTCTGGGAGTTGAAGTCCACCCATCTTGAAGTTGCTGAGGTTGAGGAATCCTGACCTAGTCCAACTCCCTACTCAGTGCAAGATCCACTAGATAGATGAGCATCCCAATCTCTTTTTGAAGACCTCCAGTAAAGGAGAACATGTGACAGCCTGTTCCAATGGATGTTCCAACTGGTACAGCCAGTTCCTCCTTTTTTCTAGTTTAGTTGCAATAAATCTCAAATGACAAAACTTCCATTTTGCAATTAGCAAAATTGAAGCATATGAGCCTGAGGTGGGATTGGGGTGGCTGCTTTTCCATTAAGGAAACTCTTGACTCATTCTGTCTCCCACTGGCTGAACTCAGAGTTCCCTAGAAGATTTCACAGGCAATCTTATCAGTGTTGCTGTTCTTAATCTTTCTACAGTAGTCACTTTATAAACAGTTTGACAATCTCTCTAAAAAACATTCTCCACTATTATTTCAGCTACTGAGAAAAAAAGGGTTTAACCATAAAAGTTTGGTGTCATACCATTATTACTGCTTTCAATGAGAATTTTGGAAGTCAAGCAATTTTCACTTCTTATCAATATCTCTAAGATTTTTCAAGTCCAGTTGCAATTAATCCTTCCTTCTAATGTAAGCAGGATAAATGACATCGCAAAGCACAATTACAAATAGTTGGAGCATATAATAAAAATATGGGGTGGGATGAAATAACAAGTTATTTTTCCCTTTTCTGCATAGAGAGTAGGAGACGGGGTTTTTTGATATTAGAGGAGCTGCTGTATCTTATTGATATGATGGTGACTGAATTATAAGTTTTGCACTTTCCTGTTGGGTGGATGGAGAAAACACTCACTGATTCATGGTATAATTTACAGCATCAGTTCATTTATACTATCGTACCTTATCTTTGCGCATCAAAAAAATGAGATCTTCTGCAGAGATTACTCTAGCTCCTCTCATCTGAGAAACTTCAGAGGCTTGTTGCAACTGTAAACAAAAGAGAAGATCAGAAGTGACATGGCAACCTGATATTTTGTAGAACTATGGTTATTTAAATAAAGTAGCATAGAAAAAACGCACACTGCAGACATATGACTCTACATCAACTAAATTTAGAACTTAAGACCATTTTAAAAAAAATCAGTAGAATTACAACCTGTACCTTCACTAGCCACTTTAAGATTTTCATTTTGCTGAATTTATTTTGACAATTGTTATTCTGGTCAATCTTTTCTGGATCAACCTGAAATCTAAAGATGGTTAGGCCTGATTAACGTCTGAAAGAGAATTCCAGAAAATTTCAGTGCTGTAGGCTAGATTGAAAAGTTGATTAAAAAATCTGAAAATAAGGCAAAGCAACCTACCTATGTACTGTGGCTGAGAAAAATACATGGACATGCCCATGACGTCATCAGGAGTCCAGCTCAACTTGGATGAGATATTACTTTTTATTGTAAAAATACTTCATCTTACAAATAACACTTCCTACAGTATATGGGGTAATATTCTATTTTTCATATTAAGGACTCAAACCCACAAGTAACAGGATGCTATAATATCTATAAATATAGTTCCATTTACATAATTCCATTCCAGGCTAACTCTCCTAACCCTCCATCCTTTTAGCAACTTGTTGTATTGCCTGAATGTTAGGGTAGTGACAGCTGCTCCTATGCATCACTGTGTTAGATCCTTGACTGTTTTCTCAAACCATTTTTCACTAAGCTGAGAACCTGCTGGATTCAACCAGCATACAGTGTGTGTGTGTGTGTGTGTATTTATATTTATATTTTAAATCCCTCTCATCTTTAGTATGTATTCACTCTGCTGAACACAAAATTCTTAGTACTCACTCCAATAATATATAAATTAGAAATTAGGAAAGCTACACAATAAGAAATAAGAAATTAGGAAATATATAAATAAGAAATTAGGAAAGCTAGATAATTCTGAGATGAACAATTGCAAAGTAGATACCCTTCCACAGTTCAAACTACTGGTTCTGTTTAAAAACTTGCAACAATAAACACTGGACAACAATGATGATGACAATGACAACTGATTAAGCGTGTGCCAGTTTCTAATTTGTTTCTATCTCACAGACTAACAGAGATAGAAACAGCTGCTGCTGGAGTGTTTACGACTTAATCTGATATCTGCCTGTTATATTGTTTTTCTTATGGGTTATTTTGGGTTTGCTTTTCTGCTCAGCAAGGACAGGTGGGATGACAAGCACTGAACATCATAGTGATGGCTGGGGTTGATCATTAGTGGGCAGAAGCCAACTGTTGTAAACTGACAATTCTTAACCATATTCTCTCCACAGTAAGAATCTTGTCCAGAAGCTGACATCCATGTTCTAGTTCTTCTTATTCAGTTGTCTTTCAGTGGAAGATGATTTCATTGCAGATTTTAGCATTTCAGTTCAAACCTCTATGAACTGATAGAAAAAGGGTCAATGGAAGGCATAAGTGATAGCCCTGCTTCATGCTAAAATCTTATATTAGCCTTCTAGGCTCAAAGGAGACAAAACTAATACAGACATCATGCATACTGATCCTTGGTGCCCAGAATGAGAATCAAAACTTCTTTGGGATTTGGACACATGTCAAGAAGTGGCTTTCATGACATTTAGACAATACTGCCAGCACTGCAAAGCGTTACACACATTCTGCTAATATAAAGTTCGGCAGCTCTTTAGGTTTTACTTCTAGGTTTCTTAATGCATGAATCTTTGTGAGAATTTCTACAGTGACATTTATTTTCCCTTTTCCTAGCTCTTCCAGCTTTTTCCTGTTTACTTAAATGAATTCTACCTAGTTATGAAGAAGCCCATATTTACGTAACTCTACCAACTGTACACTTTTTTGGCTGCATTCTCAGAAATAGTTCATAATGATGCCACTGGCCTTTTTAGCACTATGGCAAAATATAGTTATTTGTAGAAGTACAAAAAATTAATTTTAAAAAAATAATTAATATTCAAAACTACTACAGATATAGAAAAAATACATAAACATATGCTTCATGGAAGCCCTGGAATATGATAGATAGGCCAAAGAGTTAGATACTAACTAGAAAAATGCCTTACATGATTTTTTACATTTGAAATATAAGATAATAATAAGGTTTATGTTTATGAATATATATACGGATATAGATGTGAGAAATGCACCTGAGAACAGATGGAAGAAATTTTAACTTTCATTTGCCATATTAGCAATAGTTTTACTTTGTAATATTGGCTGAAGAAGGATATTATTAATGTGAGATTTAATGCTGCTGCTATGATTTGAAATAGGACTATTCAGCAGTTAAAACAGTAGCTGTTTCTAATATGTAGGGGGGAGGTAGTTTTCACTTTTGGCAAGTGTTCAGCAGGAAAAAGATTTAGTCAATAAATCATAATACTGGACTGCATTATTTTTTTTCCACTCTAATCACATGCACACAAAATGTGAACTGTATCTGGTAGGCACAACACAAAACATACTGCTTTAAAAAGCTTCAGTTTTTTTCTTTGAAATGCTCAGGAGGGCTTTTGCAGTTACAAAGACGAGAGAACTTTCAGGAATTCAGAAGTCACAGTAACATAATCTGACTTGAAACTGAACTGGAAAATATAAGAATGTGAAAAATGATAGTTCTATTTTTTTGGCACAGGAAAGTAGCTTCTTATTCTGATTAGTTTAAGGATACACAAGGTACTTATGTTTCCAGCATAAAATACAGAAAAGCTGGGTAAAATTATAATACAAAGAACGGGATGAATACCTCATTGGTGTAATTTGGATGAACCCAGTGGACTTATATCCAAGCATGCATTTACTCAATATATTTAATAACTGCTTAGAAAATTGATGTTAGTGTGCTGTTAATATAATACATCTTTTTCAAATTTTGTATGGACCTAGAGAATTCCTTTGAACAAAACAGCTAATATTATGTCAATCTTTGCTGAATAGGAGGCAAACAGTTTTAGCACAATGGAGCCACAACCCAGTAATAACCTAAGTTCACCTCTGACCATTATTTCAAGCTAACTTGATTATATCCAAGTGTGCTAAACAGTTCAAGTAAAATAAGTAAATAAATATAACCAGCAGTTTAAATGATCTAAAGACACTTAAACTATACTTAAATATAAGATAGAAACAAAACATACTACAGTGGCATAATATCGATCTAAATAAGAAAGAGCAGCTTAGTAATAATTGTTCAGTAAGACTGGGTTTTAATTTTAATGTTTGAATTTTTTGACCTTACAGTTAAAGACCAAAGCATATAAACCAAAAGAAAAAAAAAGAAAGAGAAACACTTGTATGAAAACAGCCAGAGTAATAAATAAAATAATCATAAATGGGCAAAATAGCTTATAAGGGAAAGCAAGCATCAAAATTACTGGACAGTTAAACATCCCAAAGGTAGGGCAACTGCAGGCAGAACCCCTTCTGAAGGTCTAACAGGAGGCAGATAATCTCCTCCGAGCTAGAATGGTTGTGCATTATTATAGGTATTATTAATTTAGTTTGCCATACAGTGAAGGGGCATCCCAAGAGCACAGAGGAGAAACTTTCTATTTCCTCCAACGTTCAAAGGCAAAATGGCTGTTGCACAGGAACATTATGAAACCTTCCTTCTAACAGGGAAGGTGAGAGTTCATTTGGAGAAAGCAACTATTTTAACGTTATTGTAACTGATGACAAGTTGCTTCTGGCTGCAATAATATGCAACAACACGAGGAGTCCATCTCAGTCCACCTTGCGTTACAGAGAGGATTGCTACATCATCATCAGCAGATAAAAATACTGAAAGAGGCCTGTTGCCCAACATATGAGGATGGAACTCAGGTTCTTGTATTACTGTGCTGATAACACATTGAAAAGAAGGAACACCAAATTGCAACTTTGGTTAACCCCACTGAGAACATGATTTGAGCATGACAAGTGGTCTTGGTGATCACAATGGACTGGCACTACATTATTTCCGCGATGTTTCCTGATTAGCCGCAAAGAATATTGATCAATAAAAGTAGGTGGCAGTTTCTCCCACAACCTGCTCCTGAGGACTGAGTCAAATGCTGCTTTTAAATCAATAAAGGCAACACAAAGGATCCCTTGCAGACGGCTAATACGTATTTTCTCTTAAATAATGAAAAGATGACATAGTGATGAAGGGTCAACTGTTCCTTCTTGAAGTCTACTTGCTCCTCTTCCAGGATGCTGTCCTGTACTAGCCAGTCCAAAGGATTAGGTGATATCACACAGGTTTTCCGGGAAATAAGAGACTGACAGAGCACTACCCAAAGCACTCTTAGTTGCAATCTTTTGCCAGCATAGCCAGGACAGCAGGATGCAACCTCATCTTTGTGCATAGAAAAGAAGATCATTCTCAGTTCTAAAATGTTTCAGACCAAACAACTCCCCCCCACCCAACGCTAAGCAAACTTACATCAGCTTGTTTATTGGTAGAAATAAATAGCATATGAAACAAAATATTTGCTGTTACAAAGATAAACGCTGAAAATTTGCCTTTAATGTCAGATGGGAAAAGACTTTAGAGTGTAACTCAAACACACGCGCATATTGGCCTATGGTGGATCATCTACTCTACTGTGACCAAACAGACATATGTAGCTCAGTGAAAGAACTTCAACTGAGAAAATGTTAGCAAATGGAACAGCTTCACTTGTTTTCTGGATTAGAATAATCTTTTCTAATTACAACATAGTCCAAGATAGTTTTTAACTATAAGGAAGCAAACCACACTATCTGATTATGCCTTTATTATGATTGCTTAAAACATAAAAAAATATCTGAGACCTCAGACCACAACTATATATTATTACTATGTCTAAATTATGATTTTGTCAAAATGAATAAAATTATGAATAACACCTACACTACAGCATTTTAATCAAGTGTTCCTTGTGGATTTTTTTCCTATTTTGTGTGTAAGAAAGAAAACATAGTCACCTTAAAACTTAT